AACCAGAGGAGTCGCCCCCTGGTGGACACTAGAGAGAATGCAGCATTAACACTTTTATTACCGAAGGTTGACGTCTGGTTTTTACTCGACAATGCTAGCTCACCTAGCATCCCTGAGCTATCTAACGTTACGGTTCAGCCTGTTTACGTCTTACTTCCTTTTACTAGTTTTGCTTTATTTACATAAAAAGATGAAGTTGATATCATTTTCAAATACATTTTTTTTGGGGACAAAACATTACGTAGTTTATACAAAGACCGTTCTTTGTGGATCTGCAGAATAATACGATGCTAGAAGCTTTTAAAAGTAGATTACATAAGATATAATTTAATCTTTTTCTGGAAAGATACATTCGTGTTGACTTTTTAATTGTAATTGTAAAAAATTACAAAAAATTGTATATAATTTATACAAAATGTATATTTTAGATTTTTGGGTGAACAGTCCCTTTAAATGTCTCCTAAGCTGCTGTACAACAACTTTGCCATAAATAAAATGCAGCATCTACAACTGGCACAAAATATTACCAAACATTAAAACAGCAAAATATATTACGCAACATAATCATAAGCTGTTGTACATATAAACGGTCTCTTCTCCTGCAGAGAGGTTGTGGATGGCTCCGGAGCTGCTCAGGATGGAGTCTCCTCCTCTTCAGGGGACTCAGAAAGGAGACGTCCACAGCTTCGGCATCGTCCTACAGGAGGTGGCGCTGCGCCGAGGAGCCTTTTACCTCGAGGGGTACCCACTCAGCCCCAAAGGTAGGACGGAGGACACAAGGTGAGAGGACACTTGGTCTGTGAAGTCCACTTTAAACGGACCGTTCTCTTCAAAGTTAGTACAAAGAACTTTCAGTTAGTGTTGATTCTGTTGGTCCCTGTGGACTAAAGTGGAAGTGTCTCTGAGCACCAGACTCCCTTTAGGAAACCTCAACAGCTGTTGAGGTTTCCTGTCTGGTGTTTTGACGCATAACGATCACGATAAAGAGTACTAAGAAAGCAGAATCACAAAAATAAAATAGAAATTTACAATAAATAATATGTAGCTAGAATAACGTCTGCTGTCACATGAGTTTACATCCATGTCTTTTCTAAATCACACTTTATCATTTTATCCTATTTGTGTGTAATTGTAACAAATAACATGCAAATTCTTGAGTTATTGCCAAAAAAAGTGATTGTTGTTGGGTCACAGTTCATCTTTGAGTCCAGGTGTGGGTATATATAAACATATATACGTATATATATATATACGTATATATGTTTGTGTCGTGAGACATCATATTCACGAGATCGGGACGGAACCAACGGTTCCAACCAGTTCCTCCTCGAGTCCAGGAGACGTTCTACGTTCTCTTTCTTTTGGCAGCTTCATCCATTAAAGTTTCTCCTCCTCGGTTCAGTTTGGCTTCTGTTCTTCACATTTTCGACGCTCAGTTTATTAACCACCCATCCGTGTATTTGTGGTCGCTTCCCCCAAACCCCCGTAAGAGCATCTGAACCATCTCTACCCCCCCCCCCCCCCCCTTCTGCAGAGATCGTGGACCGGGTGGTTCTGGGCGAGTGGCCCTGCCTCAGACCGACCGTCGACCCCCAGAGTCACAGCCCTGAGCTGGGTCAGCTGATGCAGCGCTGCTGGGCCGAGGAGCCAACGGAGAGACCGGAGTTCAACCACATCCGCCTGCTGCTGCGCAAGCAGAACAAGTGAGTGCGTTGAGAACGAGGCAAGGTTAGAACACGTGACACCAGTGGAGCATGTCAACGTGAAAGAGCCGGAGAGCTCCAGTGTTACGTTGTCTCAGTGAAACCTGGTCTGGACTTTAACTTCTATCTAAGAGATATGTGGGTATCGAATGAAAGTAATGCTTCATCATAAGATAAGTTAAGATGTAATGAGATATGATGAGATGAGATACGATGAGATGAGATGAGATACGATGAGATACGATGAGATACGATGAGATGAGATACGATGAGATGAGATACGATGAGATACGATGAGATGAGATGAGATACGATGAGATACGATGAGATACGATGAGATGAGATGAGATACGATGAGATGAGATGAGATACGATGAGATGAGATACGATGAGATGAGATACGATG